CCTGGACCTCCCCCACTGCAACTTGAGACCATTGCTCCTTGTTCTGTCATCTGCCACCACTGAGAACAGCCGAGCTCCATCCTCTTTGGAACCCCCCCTCAGGTAGTTGAAAGCAGCTATCAAATCCCCCCTCATTCTTCTCTTCTGGAGACTAAACAATCCCAGTTCCCTCAGCCTCTCCTCATAAGTCATGTGCTCCAGACCCCTAATCATTTTTGTTGCCCTCCGCTGGACTTTTTCCAATTTTTCCACATCCTTCTTGTAGTGTGGGGCCCAAAACTGGACACAGTACTCCAGATGAGGCCTCACCAATGTCGAATAAAGGGGAACGATCACGTTCCTCGATCTTCTGGCAATGCCCCTACTTATACAGCCCAAAATGCCGTTAGCCTTCTTGGCAACAAGAGCACACTGTTGACTCATATCCAGCTTCTCGTCCACTGTGACCCCTAGGTCCTTTTCTGCAGAACTGCTACCTAGCCATTCGGTCCCTAGTCTGTAGCAGTGCATGGGATTCTTCTGTCCTAAGTGCAGGAGTCTGCACTTGTCCTTGTTGAACCTCATCAGGTTTTTTTTGGCCCAATCCTCTAATTTGTCTAGGTCCCTCTGTATCCGATCCCTACCCTCTAGTGTATCTACCACGCCTCCCAGTTTAGTGTCATCTGCAAACTTGCTGAGAGTGCGGTCCACACCATCCTCCAGATCATTAATAAAGATATTAAACAAAACCGGCCCCAGGACCGACACTTGGGGCACTCCGCTTGAAACCGGCTGCCAACTAGACATGGAGCCATTGATCACTACCCGTTGAGCCCGACGATCTAGCCAGCTTTCTATCCACCTTACAGTCCATTCATCCAGCCCATACTTCTTTAACTTGGCGGCAAGAATACTGTGGGAGACCGTATCAAAAGCTTTGCTAAAGTCAAGGAATAACACATCCACTGCTTTCCCCTCATCCACAGAGGCAGTTATCTCATCATAGAAGGCAATTAAGTTAGTCAGGCACGACTTCCCCTTGGTGAATCCATGCTGACTGTTCCTGATCACTTTCCTCTCCTCTACGTGTTTCATAATTGATTCCTTGAGGACCTGCTCCATGATTTTTCCAGGGACTGAGGTGAGGCTGACTGGCCTGTAGTTCCCCGGATCCTCCTCCTTCCCTTTTTTAAAGATGGGCACTACATTAGCCTTTTTCCAGTCATCCAGGACCTCCCCCGATCGCCATGAGTTTTCAAAAATAATGGCTAATGGCTCTGCAATCTCATCCGCCAACTCCTTTAGCACCCTCGGATGCAGTGCATCCGGCCCCATGGACTTGTGCACGTCCAGTTTTTCTAAATAGTCCCGAACCACTTCTTTCTCCACAGAGGGCTGGTCACCTTCTCCCCATACTGTGCTGCCCAGTGCAGCAGTCTGGGAGCTGACCTTGTTTGTGAAGACAGAGGCAAAAAAATCATTGAGTACATTAGCTTTTTCCACATCCCCGGTCACTAGGTTGCCTCCCTCATTCAGTAAGGGGCCCACACTTTCCTTGACTTTCTTCTTGTTGCTAACATACCTGAAGAAACCCTTCTTGTTACTCTTAACATCTCTTGCTAGCTGCAACTCCAAGTGTGATTTGGCCTTCCTGATTTCACTCCTGCATGCCTGAGCACTATTTTTATACTCCTCCCTGGTCATTTGTCCAATCTTCCACTTCTTGTAAGCTTCTTTTTTGCGTTTAAGATCAGCAAGGATTTCACTGTTTAGCCAAGCTGGTCGCCTGCCATATTTACTATTCTTTCTACACATCGGGATGGTTTGTTCCTGCAACCGCAATAAGTTTTGTAACTTTCTAACTTACTATCTAGTTTTGTCTCTTGAATTTTGTTTTGATGTCTCAAATTCTGCTCTCCAAACTGATGTGACATTAATAATTCTTATCCAGTGGAGTCAAGCGGATTTAACCCAGAATAAATGCAAGAGTCTATTGAAGCAGCAGTGGTGCTGCCCTATAAAAGTAAAGTACTACCAGCCAAAAGTGGTACCAAAGACGTTAGCAAAGTATTTTTAACCCTAACATTTCCAATTTCCCCCAGATTACTTCTTAATACAGCAGTAAAAAACAAATCTTCCCATGCTTCAGCTAGGGTTTATTTCTTGTAACCTCCCTAAAAACAGCTTGTTTTGTGTTTCACAAACAACATTCCCTCCTCACATGCAAATGAGTTTCCTTACTTCACCTGGGAAAACATGCAAAAGTTTGTTCAACCACTCATGCTCTTTTGCTCACATTCAGTAAGATTTTTAAATGTGGATAACTTCTACAGCTACCAATGAATGTGAGCGCACCTGGGCAGAGAACAGGAGATGCAGGAAAGCGCTAACAGAGGAATGCAATCCTGGTGTCACTGCCTGTGTTATGTGAGGATAAAGGAATTGGTCCATTCATGAAGAAGTGTGAAGTTGGGGTTTTTTTTGTGGGGAGGGAGGAATTCTGGTTTAAAAAATGAAATTTCTATCTGAAATCAGACTGCCACTGGGTGAAGCTATTTTTCACTGCTGATCATTGGCATTTCTGATGGAACAGTTTACTCTCACATTTGAAAAAAGTTTTTATTGAACAGTACTGTTTCAAAGCCACATTTCAATTCTTCATTTTGTTTTTGTTCAGCCTCCGTTTTACTGCCGTGATGTTGCTGAGATGTATGAAAATATTCTTCACAAACCTCTATATGTGCGCCCAGGAGTCAGTCTTACAGCCTGGTCTATTCTGGAAGAACTCTTGGAGAAAGACCGGCAAAAGAGACTTGGAGCAAGAGAAGACTTTGTATGTAATTTCCTGGCAATGAATTAATCGGGCACTAATTTATTAAAGGGACATTGTCAAATTTAAGGCCACAATTCAACATTATTTGTAAGAAACAGGTAGAGAATGTCCTTTGAATGCTGAATATCAACTTTAAAACAAAATACCCTAGTTGTCACCAAAAACCTGAAGGGCAGGGGAAGACACATTTATTATGTAGAACTTACAATGGTTTGAGCTTGACTGCTGCAATACCTGCCAGCAAAGGAAACACATTTCCTAACATCATATTCCCTGAGCTGTGCTGATATAATTGATGATGCTAGTACTCAAACAAGGAAGTTACCAAACCAAAACGAGCTACTCTTTTTGGTAAATTCAGCTTCAACGGTGAGAAAAATGCTATTTGTCAAATAAGAAAAAGGCAAGGAAACAACTATTTTTTCAGGCTTCCAAAATGGCTTTACAAATAATGGCTAGTGTTTTGCAAACTTCTATCAAATAATATTTTGACAGTGTTCCTTAAGTTTGTGTAAAGATGCATAGAGAAGTTGTCACAGAATTGTGCAGGCAGGATATCAAATGATCTTGCACTTTTACCCCCAATTGATGTATTTAGGCTTAGAGTCTTATTAATGTTCTGTAATGTGTTGATCTAGTCATACACAAACTTAAAAGTTCTGTTAGATTGCTACAGTACAATTACGTTTTTTGCAGCACACAGTAAATGAAAGGCAGTTATGTTTGGGAGGACATAACTGTTTACTATAGACATAAACAGAAAACATACTGCTGATTTTCTGGAGGCGTTCCATCTGGAACAGTGCTCATATTAGTAAGTTTTGTTAGCTTGGAGCAGGAACATGAACATAAATACTACTTGAAAAACCTTCTTGAAACCAGGTTTTGGTTAAGACATCGATTTAAGCAGAAAATAAAATGTGTTGGCCAGCCTTTTCAGAAATGTTTCTCCATCAAATTTTAGCCACTCCAGCCATACCTTTTAATACAAATTGTAAAACAAATAATGGGCTTGAACTTTATTATTACAAGGGGTGAAAGTAAAATTGAACTCTTACTGGGCTGGCTCTGGGCTCCCCCATTCCCCTGGAAGGGGCAGGGCCTCGGGCGGAAGAGGCGGGGCTGGGGGTCAGTGTCCCCCAGCCAGCCTATCCACGCTGCCTGGCCCGCACTGTCTGGGGCTCCAGCGGCGATTTAAAGGGCCTGGGGCTGCTGCTGTGGCAGCGGCAGCCGGAGCCCCAGGCCCTTTTAAATCGCCAGCCCCGGGCAGCTGCTCCTTTCCCCCCACCCTCCCCCCACCCCCGGCAGCAGCGACCCGGGGGGAGGGAGGGGGATGCAGGGGCAGGAAAAGGGGCAATGACATTAAAGCACTGCCACGGCAGGGCTTTAAAGTCAGCTGTATGGGCTGGTACCAGCGGCTGCTTTTTACCGGTATGCTGTACCGGCCCATACCGCCTTACTTTCACCCCTGCTCGTTCCTGCACCAAATCCAAGAAACTCTTTTACTCTAGCATGCTGGAAGGATCTCTGAAACAACATTGTATTCAAGTGCTGCAGGGTATATCATGGAAATAACCAAGTTTATCTTTGCTCACTGTTGCAGCTTGAAATTCAAAGGCATCCTTTCTTTGAATCTCTCAGCTGGGCTGACCTTCTCCAAAAGAAGATTCCACCACCATTTAATCCTAATGTGGTAGGTGCAATCTGTATATTTAGATTATATGTCCCAAATCTCTTCATGTAGTGGGGCAGAATCTATGGGGTGAGAACATCTATCTAAATGTTGCAGAGAATGGCAACCCCCAGTACCTCTCAAACAGTGTTGGTGACCATTTCTGAACTGTTTAGAGCAATGGTTCTTAAATTAGAAGAGCTAGAGAGCCATTTTTGTTATTGAATGAGATCAGCAGCATGCCATCCGGACATTGCATTGTGCTTTTGTCATAGTGTTGGATCAGAATGTGATAAAGTTGTGCTTTCGTGACTTGCATGTCATGGCACAGGGTCAGAATACTGCACTGTGACTTGTTTTACAGCTCTCTGAGACCTTTCTCCACCTTCTGTTCTCCCATTTTCCACCCTGACTACTGGGAAGGGGAGATCTTTCTTTCCCCCTACATCTCCAACTGGTTGGGTGATGGGCAGCTCCTACCCATTAGGTCTGATGCATTATGTGTGCTTAGGTAGTGAGGGAACACTCCTCTAAGTTGCGTTTTTTAAATTTGAGGCCCCACTAAGAGGTGCAAGAGGTACCATTTTTGTGTAGTTATTGTCATACTGCAGTTGTTGTCACTAGTGGAATCCGTGTTTGTCAGTCACTAAACTGATTCCAGGAGAGCTGCCATTTGACATACAGATAGTTGAGCTCAAATTCTCTTAGAAAAATACTAATACAGTACAAACCTGTGTAAAGAAAAGGGGCAGAAAGAGAAAATGGGGAGAAAAACAGGAAAATGAAGAGTGACTGGAGGATGAGTGATTTTTAAAAAAAGGAAGGAGAATGCATGACTAGGAAGGAGGGTGACCAGAAGAAAAAGGAGGTGTTGGTTTCTTGTTTTTGTATCTCTTTTCACCATCTCTTAAGAAGCAGCACTTCTTTGTCTTTTTCCTTCTGGAAATACTGCACAGGATATGTGGATTTGGCAAATTTACTGACACTTTGATCTTTTGGCCTGAATTACACCCCATAAAAAACCGCTTCAAAAGCTGTTTTCAGGCAGAGTGATGGGATTTACTTAACTGCTCTCTTTATGAAAGGGAGAACTTCATAACATAGACAACTTTGAATTTTACTAAAATGAAAAATACTTAACAGACAAAAGCATTTAAAAATACAAATGCCATATTAATATGATTAATGCTGGTTTGTGTGTCTCATTCTTAGGTTGGCCCAGATGATATAAGGAATTTTGATGCAGCTTTTACGGAAGAAATGGTTCCTTATTCAGTTTGCATTTCCTCTGGTTATAACATTGTAAATGCCAGTGTGCTGGAGGCAGATGATGCATTTGTTGGATTTTCTTATGCACCACCGTCTGAAGACTTGTTTCCCTAGGAGGTTAGGAGCCAACAAATGCTGCACAAGTACAAGTCTGAAGATGGACTGAAACATGAGTGTGAACATAGTCCAGAATATGTGTAACTAGTGCCTCATTTTATATGTAGGGTTGAAACCAATGAACAAACATTTTCTTCTGTATATGAGAAAATTGGGCATTTCAGATGGCTTTCTTTGGGATTTAAACTGTTATACCTGCTGCATAAAAATATTTTTTAAAATGAAGATCTCTAAAAGCTATTCCTTTACAATATCTGTTTTTAAGCAAACACACTGACTGGTTTTTTCTCCAGGTTTACATTAATACCTATCCAGGATTTGGTTATCTTTCAGCAGCAGCAAACTTAGCACATTTATAAATGCCTTTGTAACTATTTACAGTGACTTTGTGCTTGAATTGTAACTATGCAATTGTCTTTTGTATATCATTGTTTAAAAAAAGATAAATGTTTCCCCTGTTATATCACCTTTTGAAATATAAGTTCATTACTTTACAGCACTTACTCTAAAATTTAATTCCTCATTGAAGAATAAGTACATACTTTAAGGATCTGCAAACTGAAAAGTTGCTCATTTAGGATCAAATTGCCATCCTTACTCCTCTTCGTAAATACCTTCTGAAGTATTCCTTTCAATTTCCACTGGATTATTTGAGAAATAAAGCACTACTCAAAGCGAGTAAGGGTAGCACAAACTAGCCCAAAATATTTGATAACACTACTAAATACATTGTCTATAATGTTCTTTTCTGATGAAGAAATATCTGAATCTCAACTGCACTAAAATTATTTTTGCATTAAAATTCCATTTTTCCAAAGAGTTGGAGGACAATAATCATTGCTACTTTTAAAGGCAGTCTTGCTATGACCCTATAGAGAGGAGATGGTGCCAAAAGTTAGGATTATTTCGTGTGTATCTGGAATACTAATATATTCTAAATGAACTGTATCAGAATTCATAGTTTCTTGTCTTTCTATATTCTAATGTATCAGCTCTTAAATCTTCACTTGATAGTTATTTTTCCTAACTATTAAACTATCTTTTGATTACTTTTAAGAATGTGAAGAGAGATTGTACACAGTGTGTGCCTCTTGTGATATGCACATATAACCAAAATGCTAACATTAATCAACTTGTTTGGTTTTTTTTTTTAAACACAATACATCCTGAAAGTTGGCTCCAGTTTTAATGTGACTTACTTATAGCAGTAATAATATTTGATTCACTTTGCTTGTAAATAACAGGTTTGTCTGTCACTTGGTAAGTGTGGGTGCACACTTTTCACAATGCATTTCAGTGCCTTTAACTGGATCACCATGAGAACTTAACTCCTTGAAAGAAATTTTAAAAAATTAAGCATTGAAGTTTCTCTCATAAAAATGCAACTTGTGTGTCATAGCTAACAAAACAAAACCCAAGTAATTAAGATAAACATTAATCTACAGATCTTGTTGCAGTGGAATAGAATCCCTTGTGAAGATCAGGGAAAGTAGCATTTCTAATAGGACACCTGTAAGTAAAAAGTAATAATAATATGCCTAGAATGCTATGTCTGTTGAAAATTCTCAGAAGGTTAAACCAAAGTGAATTTCTCACTTGAAGCAATAATCCTTTGTATGTCACCTGCACCATGATTAACACTGATGAAACACTGAAGAATTGACACAAAGTGTCTGTCTGCTCATGTACCTCTGTTAGCTAACTGAAGTAGTAGTAAAAGGAGAGAGGGAATGAAAGGGATATAATTCTGCTAATTTCAGCCTCCATTGTCCTCTTTTCAATAAAACGTTTTCCATGAGGTGTTGGCTTTGTAAAGATTATCTCCTTGGCTATTTGTATCCTAAACTTTCTAATTTTAAATAGGGTGTGATATCACTGCTTTACCAAGAAGAGGAATGTGCCAGTTTAAGGATTTTTTCCAAGCGGTGAAATGTCAAACTATATAGCCCCTCAGTTCAGTCTCAAAGAGAAAATCTGTAACTGCAGAACAGGAGTCTTCTGAGTATCCATCATGTATGGCTGAACCTAATAGTAAATCAATTTTTCCTGCTTTTGCACTTCTCTACCTAAGACAGAAGGTTACTCTGCCTACACCAGGATTTCATTATAGGTTTTAAAACTAATTCATAGACTGAATTCAAAGTGTAATGCACTATATAAAGTGCAAAGTCTTATGAAATAGCAAGCTTTAGCAGAACACACAAACCATTGTGCACTCCTTACAGAAGCCTGAGTGCTGCCCTCTAACTCGCAAGAAGTTTTCACTGATTGAAAATCTGAATTTCAAATACTCGAGACCAATTTGGAGACTGGCCCTAGAAAAGGGAATTGCATCTTTGAGTATGGTGTTTTGGGTGTTTTGTAAGAATATACATGGGGGCGTGGGGGGGAATTTGATCCAGTTGGTTGCTGTAGCTTGCTTCTTAACATTTTCCTAGATAAAGGACAAATGTATACAAGAAAAATACTTAGAATGACATTGTTAGCAGTAATACTAGGCGTTACTGCTACTAAAGAAGGCTATTGCTGGCCTACCTACCCTTTTTGTAAAGTTTTCGTAACAGTATCTCCCTTGGTGTAAATAAGGGACATGGGGTGGTGATGGTGGTAGTAGTGACATTGCAGCCAACCATGCATTGTTCTGTGCTCCAGTTGGCTCTTTTGTAGAGGTTGGTCCAGGAAAAAAAATTGTTAAAAGGAAAGATAACAAATCAGCATAAAATTTGGAAGGAGGAGCATAGGTTCAGGTGGGAAGAGTTTGGAGGAAGCACCAGGTCAGTCTGCACGGGGCTGGAATGCAAGCTCCAGTTGCAGCATCCCTGTAACTAGTTTTCTTAATAAAGAGCCAGTTCAGTTTGTAGAAACATGGAGTCCTCCAATGTTGTTACACAGCATGTGGCACATGAAACATAGGACTGGGTGTCTAAGGACGGGTGGGAATACCTGTGGGCAGGGCTTAAATTCAGCGGGAGCTGGCCCGAATGGAGCGCTGATAAATATTTTCAAGCCCCCCCCCCCTAGTTTTCATAGCATGTGGGGGAGGAGGAGGCATAGGGGGCTCAGGAAATACTCTATGAGAATTTAGGCCCTGTCTGTGGGTAATGGGGGGGCCTCTATGTTGGGGGACAGAACAGCCGCGGGGGGGGGGAGGGTCACAGCTGATGTGGCTCTGTAGATGCATCAATCTTGGGCCTGGGTGGGAGTGCCTTGGATGGGCGGGGGGCATCCTGCACTGGGAGGAATTAGGGTTTTAGGCTGGCGCACGTTGGGCTACGTCAGTACGTATTTCGCTGTAGGGGGGAGGGGAGGAAGGAGCATCAGTGTGGGGGCAACTCCCCATCATGGTGTGTGGGGGGGACTTATCAGAGCAGGCGCCTTTCTGCGTGGGGCGGGAGGGCACATCAGCATAGGTGCTCTGCGGCAGGCCGGCCGGCCCCACGCTGAGGGGGGCTGTCTTGTGCTGGATCCGGGGTGGGGGTGGCTCATTGCCGGGACCCAGCAGGTGCCCGGGTGTGGTGAGGGGCGCGAGCAGGGAGGCAGGCTGGGCTCCGGCCCTCTCCCCCGACACCCGCCGGCCAGGAACTTTTCATGTGCAACGACGCCCGTCGGCCGCTTGGGGCCGCTGTTGCGCCCGGACTCCGACCAGCTCCTCCCAGGCTCGCGGAGCCCAGCTCAGGGAGGCGGCAGGCGCCTCAGGCCCACGCCTGTCTGTGGGTGAGCGGCCGGGGGGAGGGGTGCAGGGCTCCTCCCCGGTCCGCCTGAGGCTGCGCCCGAAGAAGCCCCCTTCCAGCCACTCGCCTGCCCCCGCCTCCCCGGTGGGAGCTCTCGCCCCGCCCCCTGACCTGCTTGCTGTGCAAGTACCATGGCAGTGCTGTAGCAGGGGTGCCCAAGCCCGGCGGAGTGGGAGGGGTGCCAGTGTGTGGGGCGGGGGTGTAGCGGTGCCAGCGGGTAAGTGCGGCTGTGTGTCAGTGTAGGGGAAGGGGGGTAGTGGGTCAGTGGGGGGGGAGTGTAGAGGTGCCAGCTAGCGAGGGAGGGTAGTGGGTCGGTGGGGAGGGGTGTAATGGTGCCAGCAGGCATGGGGGGTAGTGAGTCAGTGGTGGTGGTGTAGAAGTGCTAGCAGGTAAGATGGAGAAGTGCGTCAATGCGGGGGTGTAGTGATGCCAGCGGTGATGTGTAGCGGTACCAGCAGGTGGGGAGGTAGTGGGGAGGGTGTAGAGGTGCCAACGGGTAAGGGGGGTAGTGGTGCCAGCCGGGAGGATAATTGGGGGGGGGGTGTCACTGGCTGAACAGTTCAGCATGCCAGGGTATCCAGCTAGTGTTCAAACAAAGTGTGTCTAGGAACAACATGAACAGTATTTTAAACTGCAGTAGTCCCATATTTTCTTCTCTCTGCAGCAGTGTAGTGTCAGTGGGGTGGGGGAAAGAAACTCCGGGTAGCTGGATTTGTCTGTGCATGGTTACTGTCCGGCTGTGCGGGTGTGGTTAAATTGGATGTGCATTGCTTGAATTTAATGGAATGTGTTCAGTTTTCCTTGAGGTTTTAAGGAACAGAGCAGCATTTATCAAAGCAGCTGCAGGTCATGTGGGAGCAATTCCCAGGAGTTAGAGAACACTCTAATGGAATCATTCCTCATGTTGCGGTTACAGTTTTTCATATTAACACTTCAGGCCCTTACTTCATATTCCCCTGCACGGGCCCACAAGACACACACAATATATAGTTTTGCCTTATCCCAGCTTACAGTCAGCTCTCCATAAACATCCAGTTATCTCAATGTGAAGGGAAAATGCAGTTAGGCCCACAAATACTACAGATCTTCCTTGAGTAAGCTCTGCCCCCCTGAAAAGCCCACCAGTTCTGCTTCCTCAATTGCAGTGGATGGCCAGAGCTATTTTTGAAGACTTAAGTGGTGTCTTGTGTTGGCCATCTGCACAGGGTGAATGTGATATATCCGGGTGCTACCCAGACTTGTTGGGCGGCTTTGTCATCCCTGCCCTGTAACCTGAAGTGCCTTGCAATGCCTCCTCCAACCTGGCCTGCTCAGAAACAGCCACCAGCAGGAAGGTCGCTCTCAGATGTATTTGTGTAACTGGGTCACACCCTGGCTCTCACCAGTCTTGGTTATGCTGCAGGGTGATCCCAACAAACTCCCAACTCCTGAATTTCCCCCCAGAAATGTATGTCTTGTACTGCCAAGCTCTCTCCTGGACAGTCCAAATATATTAAATCTCTTATTCCTTTAAGGGAATACAATGGTTTACTACCTTAAATAGAGTTACCCAGAAATTTTCATATAAACTCACTGGATTAGATAAACCAAGTTTATTAACTACAAAGAGATATATTTTAAGTGAGTACCAGTAATGAGGCATAAAAATCAGAAATTATTACAAGAAAAATAAAGATAAAACACTTTCTAATGCCTAATTTAACAAACTATATGAGATTCAAGCATAGTTTCTCAACACATGCTTTCAGCATCATTACTGACCAAACTCTTCAGGTCAGAGCACTGCCCCTAACATCCAACAGTTGTTGCCGTTGCCTTCTAAGGTGCAGAGAATACAGTGGGCAGGGGAAGAGAGGGGTGTCTTGGGGTGTTTGCCCTGCCTTTTTATAGTGTTTTAGTCCCTCTTTGAAAAGCATTTCTAGCTGAGAACCAGGAGACAGGCAGTCTACTGGAGGAAGGCTGTTCCCTGCTGGGCTTTTTCACCTGCGTGAGCTCCCTTTGTTTTCTCCTTTCCCCTTTTCTGGTTGATGACGCTGTTTACTGTGTTAATGCCAATTAAGACAAGCATACACTTTGTTCAAAACAGGTCTGTTTGACCAGTTTGGTGATATGTGAGTCTGCGCATGTATTTTTAACATCAAACAGAGGAAATTTATAACTTAATGCATAAAGCTGCCACACACATTTTACCATGATATCACTGATCATCAAATTACGAGTTTTCTAATGAGACCTCACAAGGCATTCCTTGTACAAAGATTATTACAATAGTGTGTGAGGTTTGAACACAGGGGTGAATTCCATCACAATGAATTTCTGTGGAGATGAGATCTAGAAGGAAGCAAACTAGACAGACGTACAAACTGGACTAACAATCTTCAATCTAAACCACATTTAGCTGGAAGGTGTACATGTGTAAGGTTTTAGTAAAAATATATTTTTTTAAATTAAAAAAATTGTAAATATTTATGAGTGTTTAGACTAAGTAACTTTTCCTGATTGTGCTGCATCCTGTGAAAATCACACTGTGGGATCTGTGGATCTGGATGCAGAGGAGAATAGGAAATAGGCACTTCTGGTGCAGAGCTTAACTCCAGGTCCATGATGACTGACTGGTCTGGTTCCGCCTCCTTAAGTTTGCAGGGGACATGAAGATCCAATGAAGAATCTGTGGACCTGGATACTTGGAGAAAGGAGAATTTAAAGTAAGAGACAACATATATGATTTTTGATTACTTATTAATGTGTTTGTATAACAACATTGATGTGCCTAATGTACAATATAGACCAAACAAATAAAAGTGCAATCAGCCTACCCCAAAGAGCTTACAAAATATGATCCCAGTCCTGAAAACACTTATGCATATACTTAACTTTGTGCATATGAGTACTTCCATTGGTTTTACTCAAATTAAAACTAGCATAAGCGTCTGCACGGATCAGGGCCTAAATTAGAAAACATAAAGGAAATGACAACATTAATCTAAATGTTAATCTATGTAATGCAATTTCACTCTGTGTAAAAACTTGTGACTGACTGGTTTTACTGCCCTTCCCCATAAGGCATTGTCTAGTTAATGCACAGAAATATTGTGTGATTTTTTTTTCCTATGGTGGGTATAACTCTAAACTACACAAAAACCTTAGAATTTTTGTTAAAGAATGGCACACTTTTCTGGGTCTCCAAGTTCTAAAAGTCACAAAATAGTTCATTGTCTCAAAATACTGGAACATTATTATTAGAAAAATTAGAGTAACAACATAATACTGTATTTCTTTGTGAGCAAGGGATTTTCCATTTTGAAGGGGAAGTCAGACAAAAATATTTCTGAAAGTTACATTGTTTGTAATGTTATAGAAGAAGGCAATATTGGTCTTTGCTTAGTTTCTTGGCGCCTGGTTTCACTTTTGACAGGTATGATGTCTTTATTATATATGTTTTATCCTTACTTATTTTATTATTACAGCATTCTTGAGCTCTGACTCTAATTCCACCACCTATGATTTATATTAATATATTCTAACATTTTGATAAAAGAGAGCATAGAGCTTCATTGGAAGATGAGACCAGATCTTCTGAAAATGAAAGAGGTTGCCCTTATTTACCTTGATAGGAGTGGTGGCCTTCAGAAATTTGTGGACGATTGCAAACGATATAATGGTACTGTTTGTTCAGTAAACCTTCTATTAATATTGACAGACCAAACAAAGTTAGTTTTTTGTGCTCTGAGACACTTGCATATTGACTCTCTGCTCTTACAGACTCAAAGCAAAGTTATGCTGTCTATCGATTCATTATTTCGATAAATCCTTCTGATATTGCTGAGTTGGATGCAGCTCTTGGCAATCAGATTCTGCACAAACCCATGAAAGCTGCACAGATTTTTCAGTCGGTAAGTGAATTTGTATGTTTACAGAGGCAGAAATGTATTCAACGTTTTAAACCAAATTTTTCTTTGCAAAATCATTTTATTTTTTAATTACAGGTCTGTTTCATAGCTATTAAAACACTGTCATTAATTGAACAATTACAGACAGAGGCCCAAGTGAGTTTAAACTTTTTACCAGCTTAGATAAAAATAAAGTAATTTTCAAACAATATTAAGTTGTATTTAGAGATCTTTTTGGTGTTAATTTTTCAGTTTTAATTTTCACTTTCATTCAACAGTCCTATCAATCTAAAAAAAAAATAGTTGGAACTTCTTACCCATGCATACTCTGGGTATGAGAAGGTGGATATATGTGACTATGAGCTATTTTCACCTTATTTGGCACGTCCCTGGAATATGTTTTTGTAACTGTGGACCACATTGGGTTTTGTACATGAGTATTTGTCATTTATACTAAACATTTCAAATAAAAAAGATTTTTGTTTTAATGCAACCCTTTTTCTCTCATGAGATTAATATAGTGTTGAAACCAACACACTTGCCTCCTCTGCCAAGTTATATTCTCAGCCTTTGTGAGTTTCCACTTGATTACATGTCTCAGAGATTTTATATGTCAGAGGGAATAGTGATTGCAATGGGAACTGTAACGAAATACACACAAGGAGCAAGATTCCTTTGTTCTGAGGAAACCTGTCCATTTTCTGAAGGTAAGAAAAAAAATGTAAAATGAGAAAAGTTCTAGACTCAAAAGGTTCTCTGACTGATTAGCCCATTAACTCGAACTCATTATTTACATTAAAATCTAGACAAACTTGGCATTTTCCTGTATAGATTTTTATGTAATTTACTCAAAGGAACTGCATATCCAGGATGCATTTTGTTGTAGTGAGAACATCACAACTTTCTGATGTGGTCAAATCTGGTCAGTGGCCAGATTTACACTACAAAGGGTTGCCTGTATACCGGCAAACTCTCCCCCCCCCCCCCACATCCCCTAAGTAGAGACATCTTATACTGGCAAGTTCTTTTGCCAATATAGCTTATAACAGTTCCCTGAACAAAATAAGCTCTACTGATTAAAGGACATTTTTGCCGGTTAACTATGTACACTAGGGGGTTTTGCCTGTATAAAAATGTTGTAAAGACTCATACCCTAACCAATGTTCTTATACCAGCAAAAAGTTTCTAGTGAAGACCTGGCCAGTGTCAGACTCCTGCCTATACAGCAGGACTAGATTAGGATTGATTCCTTCACAGCAGTCTAGGACTTGTTAACTTTAATAACTTCTTTGATTTCTATGAGACTATTCTCCCCTGCGTAAAATTACTCTGGTGCTAAAGCTTTTGCAGGATTAACCCCTAAAATTGTTTTTCACAATCATAGTGACTGTGAAGGTATAAAAGAGAAGCTAATTCCCAATGTTAGAATATTCATTTTAGAACACATTGTAATTATGTTTTTAATCAAGAAGACATATATTTATAATAATAAACACAGAGACCTCATGTAGTTTTGAATGGAGCACATAGGGACATATCATCTCTCTGACTGCTTCTCACAAAACCAGGCTAACATGATGAGGTTAAGAATCTGTAATAAGCAATTCTGCCATCCAGTGGTAAAACTACAACCCAGGGGTTGCCAAACTGTGGCTCACGAGCCACATGCGGCTCTTTTACCATTAAATGTGGCTCGCAAACCCCCCTCTCCATTCTCCGCCTACCAGACTGGGAGGGGGCTGCTCGGGACCTCTGCTGTGCAGTGGGGTGGGGCTTCTATCCAGCGGGGAGAAGGGTCTCAGGGCATCAGCCCTGCAGGACACACCTGCCGGGGCTTGGGGCTTCAACAGGAGTGGGGTTGAAGCTCTGAGTCCCAGCTCCCAGCAGGTGTGCCCCAGCTCTCAAACGTCTGATGATTGTTGTATGTGGCTCGGAGGGCCAGTACACCATAATTGTTGATTTTTATTTGGTGGCAGGGGCAGAGATTCTCAAGTCATGAGAGAAACATAGAACATTCAATAAAGCTGTTCATCTTAAGAACAGAAAAATTCGACACTTGAGAACTCCTGATTCTCAATTCAATGCTTTACTCACTCTACCACTCTGGTTGGGGGATTAAAATGAAGGCTGTGTGCCATTTTTAAAGAGCCAGGAAGTTTTCAGAGCTTATACTTGTTACCATATAGTAAACTGAAATAAACTGCATTTAAAACCAATTATATATTTTAAGTAAAGTCCATTACAAATTATTATGACTAAATGTGAAGAAATATTTGGCTATATCGTCTATGTAATGCTTTCTATTAGGGTTTAATTATATAAGAGTGCATATCCCTGGAGCTACAGAGTCTGCAACAGTGAGGAATGATTTTGTATGCAGTTTATGTGCTTCACCACTGCGAGAAGACATGAAATTTAGAGTACTTGGTGGTAAGAATTATGTAGTTTTATTTTTAGTTCTAAATTATCTTTCTACTTTTGATACATTTTTATTTACTTAGTTTATTCTTTAAAGAGTAAAGTACCATTCTTAAGAAATATAACATTCTACACTCATTTATTTTGTAAGATAAACAGCTAGTTGAAATGATAGATGCAAAAGCTCTGAGTGCTTTCCAAGGATATTCCAACAACAAACCACATTTCAGAATTCAGTCTTTTACAGTTTTCCTAAGAGGTGAGTAGGCTGTGTATTCATCTATCCTAATATAATGATAAAACTGAATGAGATCTATCTATTTAAACAGAAATGTTTTAGAAATGAATGGTATTCTGTAAAACGGCTTTTTAGTTGGAACAAATCCTTACAGTTTCCTGATATATTCATTTCTCTGGACAAAATGGTGAAAATAATGATAGTTTATATTTAGTTGATTATGTCATTTTTATTTGAAAAGGAATCCCATGTTGTAAGCCAGGCAGTTAAAGACAACACATGTCAAAACATTGGTTCATTCATATTTATTTTGATGTGTTATTTATAGGGCCCTTCCTAATTCATGGCCATGAAAAACACATCACGGATCATGAGATCTGGTCTTCCCCCATGAAATCTTGTCTTTTGTGTGCTTTTATCCTATACTATACTGATTTTACAGGGGAGACCAGAGTTTGTCAAATTGGGGGTCCTGACCAGGGGGTGGGGGTCACAAGGTTATTTTAGGGGAGATTGTGGAATTGCCACCCTTCTGTGCTGCCTTCAGAGCTTGGTGGGCGGAGAGTGGTGGCTGTTGGCCGGGTGCCAAGCTCTGAAGGCAGTGCTCCACCAGTAGCAGCGCAGAAGTAAGGGTAGCAAATGCCATACCATGTCATCCTTACTTCTGTGCTGCTGCTGGTGGCAGCTCTTCCTTCAGAGCTGGACAGATGGAGAGCGGCGGCTGCTGGCTGGGAGCCCAGCTCTGAAGGTTGCACCACTGTCTGCAGCAGCGCAGAAGTAAGGGTAGCAGTATCGCAACCCCCCCCATACAATAACCTTGTGACCCCCCACAACTCCTTTTTGGGTCAGGACCCCTACAATTACAACACCATGAAATTTCAGATTTAAGTAGCTGAAATCATGAAGTTTGCTATCCTTGGACCGTGAAATTGACCAAAATGGACTGCGAATTTGGTAGGGCCCTAGTTACTTAATTAAAATGTCTTGGCCGGTTCAGCATTATCTCACTTTCTGTGTAATTTGTTTCTTCCTCCTTCCTCTGGTTATATTGTTTTGCAGTGGCTTAACATTTTTTGTAACATCCTTCCTCAATCTAGCCATTTTCCTTATTTTTTCATGATCTCTGGCTTCTGAGGTTTCTAACTTCCATTGCAAACAATACAGTATTCGGAATGTGAAAATTCAACTACAGGCTCCAAAAAACTAACCTCGTTTTATGACAAAATATTTTTGCAGTATTGTAACCCTTTTCCACTTTTGAAAAATCATTAGTTCTGCTTTGGTGCTTGCTATTTAATGTTTATAAAATTCATCTATTTATATTTATTGAAAATTGTGTATTAATCCATTTACTCCAAAATAACAAGCAACACAACTAAATAGTGATGTTGTATGTGTATTATTACAAAGTAAAGCCTTTGGGCTGAATCCTGTGAGGTAATGTGTGCCCTCAATTTCCATCGGCTTCAGTGGGCACTGACAGGACATAGCATCTCACAGCTCAGGCCCGTACGAGGTTGCACGTAACTTACATTACAAACATTACCAAAAACAGTACAGGTTTTGAATGGCATGAACAGAAATTTGAAGGTTTCCAAATATGTTTTTGCATTTTCTTTTAATCTATTTATTCTAGGTCCTTGCTTCTGAAGAAGCATTCTATGTAAGCTTGAAAGCTTGTCTCTCTCACCAACATAAGTTGATCCAATAAAAGATACTACCTCACCAACCTTGTCTTTCTAATCTTCTTTACTAAGGCATTTTGCCATCACATTTACTTGACAATAAATGATCATGAGAACACTGCAAATCTCAGAGCAGAGATCTGAGAGTACAAACATTCTCCTTTGTGTTTAAATTCAAAACTAACTGCATTATCCATTTTCTCAACAGAAAATCATCCAGTGGCTCGTCCCACTCACTTCCCTCACCTGCTGCCCTAAAATGTTATAAATTGTCTACATGCATAGTTCTATTCCCATTCTTTAAGGCTGCATTGAATCAAACTGTTGTGTGTGCTGCTTCCCCTAAATTATATTTTCTAATCTGAACCACTAGTTTAACATATAAAAATACTTTATAATCTTAAAGTTTTGGATTTTCTAATAAATCCCCATATTTCCAATGTATATTTATTTTTTCTAGACGAATTGTCGAACAAAATGAAAATAGGAAACAGGTATAGGTTTATAGGAATTCCGGCCTGCATACAAAACTGCTCACAAGTTACAGTCTGTATAGAAGTCAACAGTATACAGCTCTGTAGTCCAGAAGGTAAGACAGCTGTATAGTAAATTAAAATTACTAAAAATAGATATTTTTATTAGATCAAAGGCTTGGCAGTTAGTGCAGTCTGCTAGTACATGGGGATCCAGGTTTGGAAGCCACTTTGGTACTTTCACTCCAGTAATCTTGAGTATGGGCTTGTCCCAATTGGTTTTTTGCCATGATATTGCTGTCACCCAAGAAACACACACAATACTATTGTCCACTTTTCTATTTAGGAAAGTGCAGAACATTATTTATTGATGTGCTTTTCCACTATCATCTTATTTCTAAGCTCTGCTTTTCATTAGAGGGTATTGTTTCAGTTCAGACCAATGGCAACTGCAACTGGATTTTGCCTCAGGCTTCCAGTCTCCAGCTGTGGCTTTTCTTGGTTGGAGACCTTTGTCTCACTACCTTCTAATGGGTATTTCCAGGCTGCACAGTCCTCTGCCTTCACTGTGTTATTCCCATCAGAGACAGGCTGCCCAATCACATCTGCTTGCTTTCTCTTCAGAGATGGTTAACAGTGTGACTGCCCACAGTTGTAAGTTACCACACAGTTCTTTCTAAGGGTATGTCTACACTACGAGGGTAATTCGATTTTACTTAAATCGAATATGTGGAATCGATATTGCAAAGTCGAACGTGTGTGTCCACACTAAGGACACACTAAGGACAGTAATTCGACTTTGTGAGTCCACACTAACGGGGCGAGCGTCGATATTGGAAGCGGTGCACTGTGGGCAGCTATCCCACAGTTCCCGCAGTCCCCGCTGCCCATCGGAATTCTGGGTCGAGCCGCCAATGCCTTCTGGGTAAAAAAAATTTGTCGTCATCCGTCCGTCACTAACGCCCTCCCTCCCTCCATGAAAGCGCCGGCGGGAAATCAGTTCGCGCACTTTTCTGGTCAGTGACAGCGCGGACGCCACAGCACTGCGATCATGGATCACGCTGCGACCATCGCTGCACTTGTGGCCGTTCTCAACACCTCGCAGCTTATCATACACCTTTCCCTGAGGCAGATGCAGAGAAATCGGGCGAGGAGGCTACGGCACCGCCGTGAGAGCCTGAAGTCGGAGAGTGGCACAGAGCTGTCAGAAACCACGAGCCCCAGCGCCCAGGACATCACGGTGGCAATGGGGCATGTGGATTTTGTTGAACGGCGATTCTGGGCCCGGGAAACAAGCACGGACTGGTGGGACCGTATAGTGCTTCAGGTCTGGGATGAATCCCAGTGGCTGCGAAACTTTCGCATGCGGAAGGGGACTTTCCTCGAACTTTGTGAGTTGCTGTCCCCTGCCCTGAAGCGCAAGGACACCCGCATGCGAGCAGCCCTCACTGTCCAGAAGCGAGTGGCCATAGCCCTCTGGAAGCTTGCAACGCCGGACAGCTACCGGTCAGTCGCGAACCACTTTGGTGTGGGCAAATCTACCGTGGGGGTTGTTGTCATGCAAGTAGCCAAGGCAATCGTCAAGGTACTGCTCCCAAAGGTAGTGACCCTGGGAAACGCGCAGGTCATCATAGATGGCTTTGCCGCGATGGGATTCCCAAACTGCGGTGGGGCTATCGATGGGACTCACATCCCTATCCTGGGACCGGACCACCAGGCCAGCCAGTACATCAATAGAAAGGGCTACTTTTCAATGGTGCTGCAAGCACTGGTGGACCATCGGGGACGGTTTACAAACATCTACGTCGGATGGCCGGGCAAGGTTCATGACGCTCGCGTGTTCAGGAACTCTGGTCTGTTTAGACGGCTGCAGGAAGGTATTTACTTCCCAGACCACAAAATAACTCTTGGGGATGTGGAGATGCCTACAGTCATCCTCGGGGACCCAGCCTACCCGCTAATGCCCTGGCTCATGAAGCCCTATACTGGCGCCCTGGACACAGAAAAAGAACTGTTCAACTACCGTCTGAGCAAGTGCAGAATGGTGGTGGAGTGTGCTTTTGGCCGTCTCAAAGGGAGATGGAGAAGCTTACTCACTCGCTGTGATCTCAGTGAAACCAATATCCCCATCGTTATTGCAGCTTGCTGTGTGCTCCACAATCTGTGTGAGAGCAAGGGGGAGACCTTTATGGCGGGGTGGGAGCTAGAGGCAAATAGCCTGGCTGCTGATTACGTCCAGCCAGACAGCCGGGCCATTAGAAGATCCCAGCGGGACGCCCTGTGCATCCGGGAGGCTTTGAAAGCTAGGTTCCTGAGTGAGCAGGGCAACCAGTGACTTTTCAGTTTGTGGACAGAAAAGCTGAACCTGCCCCCGTTTCTTTACCCAGTCCATTTTGACTATCCTCTCCAGTTACATACAACCTTCACCCCCTTCCCCTTCCCAAAAAATAAAATCATTTCGATTTTTTAATGAACACCGTTGTCTGTATTGCTGTTTTCGCGGGAATATTTTAAACCGGGGACGCAGACTGTGGCGGGGGGCGGGTTTAGTGTTCTGATGCAAATGATACTTCTAAACTCCCGGAATGACAGGCTCCGCACTGGTGGACTGGTTATTTCAATGGAGCCTGCCAGCACTCCTGGGGGGGACTGTGTGTATGTGTCGGCTATGTGACTTTCTGGCAGGGGGGGTAGGGTTACAGATCCCCTGCTGCGTGGATCTGTGAGCCAGGATAAGGACCGCTGCATAAGATCTGTAACTGCCCTCCCCCGCCACAAAGTCACAGAGCAACCCCCCCCCCAAAACATGAAAAACACCTCCCAGACTGACCAGGGTAACCAGTGACTGCACTGTGTATGTGTCCTGATGCTGGACCTGACACCGCCTCTGTACCCTGCTAAAGGTGACTGTCCTGTCCAATTACCAAGCCCCTTCCCCCCCTCCAGACAGACTCTCCCTCAAAAGAACCTGACTGAAACAGTAATGAACAGAAACAAACATTTTATTGCGAACCAGAGATGAAACGTGGGGGGTGAAACTTGGACGGGGGCTTGTGTGAGGTGGGTAGGAAAGGACTTATGAAATTTTGGGGAATGTCAGCCTTCTACTGCTAGAGCAGTCTGCAGGGGTTGATTGAAAGTTTTAACGGCCCTTGCCGCCCCTCCTTCTTTGGACTTTGGGTGAGGGTGGTGTGGGACTTGGTGGCGGGTGAGGGCGGTTACAGATAGACTGCAGCGGGGCTCTGTCCTCCTGCCTCCGGTCTTGCAGAACATCCACAAGGCGCCGGAGCGTGTCCGTTTGCTCCCTCATTAGTCCAAGCAGCTTTTCAGTAGCCTGTTGGTCCTCCTGACGCCACCTCTCCTCCCGTTCCATGACTGCTCGGTGCATTTGTGACAAGTTCTCCCTCCACTGTGTCTGCTGGGCTGCCTGGGCTCGGGAGCAGCCCATTAGTTCTGTGAACATGTCTTCACGCGTCTTCTTCTTCCTCCGCCTAATCTGCGCTAGCCTCTGGGAGTGTGCTGACAGGCTGGGTTGGGAGACAGTCGCAGATGTGTCTGTGTGAATTTTAAAAAGGGAGTGAATTCCTGAGACAGATAAATGAAATTGTATACAAAGAACCTAGTCTTTCTCTGTGAACAAGACCATGCACTGAACCTCTCACATGCGCACTCAGGACAAGGTCGAATTTTCGGCCGTCGCCTTCAGTGCCTGTGGACTTGCGGAGGTCTTGGAGTGTTCAGAGAACTGTGGCTGGAGACCTGAACTTCTGGAGCGGGCAATAATGGTAAGCCGCAGACTTGTGGCTGCTTAAAACTCCAGCAGTAGCACTGGCCTCCTTTCACATTGAAAGCAATGCCAGTCTCTGCTGCCAGCAATCAGGACAGCATCAACTCTGCCCCTGTCCCACCCCCTCGCGGCTGTCCCAGGGAAAGATCCCTGTATGCTGCCCCTCTCCCTCCACCGCGTGGCTGTAAAGCAGTCCCAATACTAACAGTCCCCTCCCTAATTCAAAGCAGGGCGTCATGAGCGACATCACCCTCCTGAGGATCCCGGACACCCAGAGAGAACGCATGCTGCGGGAAAGCATGCAGAAACCGGGGCCGTATGCCGCCATGCTATGTCGGGCCATGATCCCCGAGTACCTGATTGTGGCATGGAGGGGACATGTCTGCTACCACGGAGGGCCCACTAAGATCGCCCTACCCCGGAACCTGATCAACAGGCTTGAGCTCTACCTCCACGAGACCTACGAGGAGTTCTCCTACGAGGATTTCTCGTCGATCCCCGGCCACATTGACCGGATTTTCGCGTAGGTGCACTGAGACTTTGGAGTGGAGCGTCTTGGGCCTGGGAATCATGTAGTAACGGACATTGTGAAATTTTTTTAAAATACTTGGGACTAAATTGAGAAGAGCCTAAGACAGAGAAATCATGCAAAACCCATTTGTTACCTTTGTAAATATTCCTGTTTTGTACCTGATTATTTTTTTACTAGTTTACAGCACTTTTATAAATATACATTGTTAATAGTATAAATATTACCGTTCTGTTTTAAATAAATGTTTACATGTTTACAGCACTTACTGCTTGATCCGTCCCCTGATTCTGTGTCCGGGGTAAGGGATGGGGACGGTTGGTAGGGGATCTCGGTAAGGGTGATGAAGAGCTCCTGGCTGTCGGGGAAATCAGCGGTGCCAGCGCTGTCGACTGCCTCGTCCTCCTCATCTCCTTCTTCATCTTCCCCGTCCGCTGTCATGTCCGACATGATCCCATCCTCGGAGTCCACGGTCAGGGGTGGGGTAGTGGTGGCGGCCGCTCCCAGGATGGAATGCAGTGCCTCGTAGAAACGGGATGTGTGGGGCTGGGATCCGGAGCGTCCGTTAGCCTCTTTGGTTTTTTGGTAGCCTTGTCTCAGCTCCTTGATTTTCACGCGGCACTGCGTTGCATCCCGGCTGTATCCTCTCTCTGCCATGGCTTTAGAGATCTTCTCGTAGATCTTAGCATTCCTTCTTTTGGAGCGCAGCTCTGAAAGCACGGACTCATCGCCCCACACTGCGATGAGATCCAAGACTTCCCGATCAGTCCATGCTGGGGCCCTCTTTCTATTGGATTGCACGGCCATCTCTGCTGGAGAGCTCTGCATAGTTGCCACTGCTGCTGAGCTCCCCTCGATGTCCAAAGAGGAACTGAGATTCAAACTGCCCTGACAGGAAAATGAAAATGAATTCAAATTTTCCCGGGGGTGTGGCTGGTCAGAGCATCCGAGCTCGGACTGCTGTCCAGAGCGTCAAGAGAGTGGTGCACTGTGGGATAGCTCCCGGAGCTATTACCGTCGATTTCCATCCACACCTAGCCTAATTCGATATGGCCATGTCGAATTTAGCGCTACTCCTCTCGTTGGGGAGGATTACAGAAATCGATTTAAAGAGAGCTTTCTGTCGAACTAAATGGCTTCCTGGTGTGGACGGGTGCAGGGTTAATTCGATATAACGGCGCTAAAGTCGACATAAAAGCCTAGTGTAGACCAGGCCTTAGTAAGTCTATTTTATTAAGATAAAAGGCATTACAGAGAAAACATATTAAAAACAATAAAAGAACCTATATGCATTCTAATAAGCTTACTAGAGGTCACTTCATCCCTAACATGCTCTCTGGCAGAGGCAGTCCTTCAATACCTCACCAAAGGGGTTTCCTTATGGTTTCAAGTTCATCACAGCTTTAGCTCAGAACAAGCACAGTCTTACGGGGCCTCAGTAGGCTGCGTCCTTCCAATCCTCCCCTAAGGATTGGGGCCTGTCTGTTTGCTGGATCTGGAAGAAGGCACTGAGCCTGTTTAAAACCAGGCTATTTAACCAAAAATCTTTTCTTTTTCTGTTGGTCCCTGGAGAATCCAGTTTGAACTACTATATGAGGAACTAACCAGAGGGTAGCTTCACAGGGCCTAATAATGGAAGGAATTATATTACCTCTCCCTCCTCCTAGAGGAGTTACATACAATTCCACAATAACACATACAGAATTGCATTTTTAATACAATGGCCCCCAAAGGTATCAATCCTAACTCAGTAAGATTTAACTTAATTCAATAAAGTTTACCTTAATTCCATAAAGTTTGTCCAGGATGATGCAAATATTGTCAGTCTGTCACAGGTATATTTAGATTGTATCTTAGATGGCCATACAATTTCAATTCATGTACTCACACTCTTACTCAATATGTATTAGTGGACACAGTGTCCTTTACCTGTTTAATAATAGTAAAACTAACATTTTAAGCTGTTCACAGTCTGAATTTTTGTTACCCTAAAATAAATTACAAACATACTTGTTTTTAATTATTTTTTCTGATAATAGGATCTACCTAATGCTGATTTGTTTTAATTATATGAATTGCTCTGTTTAAAAGTGTTGATTAAGATATCCTTTGTTTATATTAGATACTTCTGGTATCAGTGAGAATTTTAAGTATCTGCTCTCCTGGACTTCAAGTTCATGTTGGAGGTTTACAGCCATACTTGCCAACATCTTTGCTTCTCAAGTTGTCCCACCAGGCACTTACAATACTCTTAAACTGTCCATACTGTTGAGTCTAGTCCAGACATGTGACAGAGAGAGAGAGACAGCAGATTACCTGGATCTTTTGATTGTGACCAGTGACACCCTAATAGCAGATAGGTAAATTGACACCTGTATTTTTTTTACAAGTACATTTGACTTTAAATAAAAGATTTGCCACGTTTTTATATAGAGAGGTTTGATATTTTCTCAAAAGGAAAACAGAGTTCACACTTCAAAGTGTATCCTGGGGTTTTACTCAGCAAAATAACTTTTTTTTAAAATAAAGGTTTTACATTTTTGATTTCTGAACTCTCCTTTCCTTTGTCATTTGTGTGCAAGGTCTTCATTATTATACTGCTAAGAGGGAAGCAAACTATGTGATGGTCATGTGGGGCATGTGCAATCTAGTGGCATTAACTGACTGCTGCTTATGTCTATGGTGAAATTTAAGGCTTTGCTTTTAATGAGTAAAGCATTTAATGATCAATCTTCTAATTAACTTGCCGAATTTCTAACACCTACCTGTTTAGCAGAGGCCTAACTATAGTCCTTCTGAAGTTGCCATTGAAAGGACTACATTCTGTGGCTATAAAAGCAAAGATTTGCCCCTCTCAAGCCTTAAGTCACTCTGATATAGCACTTTAGTTTTTTCTAAACTAGCTATTTTCTCAAAAATGTCACACTGTTGTGACCTCCAGTTCAGCTCCATCAGTGATTAACAAGGTCCAAATGGCTGCTGGTATTTTTATCACTGTGTTGTTTGGATTAGGGTTGCCAGGTGTCCAGTTTTTGACCAGAACAGGCGGTCGAAAAGGGACCCTGGCGGCTCCAATCAGCAGCGCTGACCTGGTTGGCGGGGATAAGGCAAGCTCCCTGCCTGCCCTGGCTCCACATGGCTCCTGGAAGCGACGGGCATATCCCTGCAGCCCCTGGGAGCAGATGTGATCAGGGAAGCTCCGCATGCTGCCCCCGCCCCGAGCGCCGCCTCCGCAGCTCCCATTGGCAGGGAACTGTGGCCAATAGGAGCTGTGGGGGCAGCACCTTCAGGTGTGGGCAGTGCGCACCGTGCAGAGCTGGCTGGCCATGCCGCCACCTAGGGTCCAGACATGGTGCCTGGTCCCAGGAGCTGTGCAGAGCAGAGCTGTGCCTTAGCACCGCTGCGCCACTGGCCAGGAGCTGCCTGAGGTAAACGCTGTCTGGCCAGAGCCCACACCTCAATCTCCCCCTCGGGCCTTTACTAATTACAGTAACTTATAAAATATATATATATATATATATATATATATAAAATAACAAAGTACCTTACAAATCTCATCTCAGATACTTATATGGTCCCTTTTACTGTAATATCTAAGCATCGCCCAATATTTAAATGCCTTTAATCCTCACAACACTCCTGTGAGGTAAAGAAGTACTATTATCCCCATTTTGCAGTTGGAGAATTGAGGCACAGAGAGACTAAGAACTAGATTGCTAAACTTATTTAGGTGCCTAAATACCTTTAAAAATCAGGGTGTTAAGTGACTTGTCCAAAGTCACACAGGAAATTTTTGGCAGAGCACGAATTTGAACCTGGGTCTCCAACCAATACTCTAACCACTGGACCATCCTTCTTAGCCTCTCCTATCTCTCATGCTTTATTATGCTGAGTTTTGCCTGGCATGGCTGCCACACCATGTCATTTATTAATACTGGGACAAAGCCCACCTCCACCATTTGCAAGCATGAGCAATAGAATCAATGTGGTTCCACTGCATGTGGGAGGCAATGTTTGGGCTGACTACTCTGCATGCCCTAGAACACAGCTCAGTAGGGGAGGGCCCTGCACCCATGCCTCAGTCTTTGGGTCCACTACTGTGTAAATCCACACACCTGTCCCCGGTCACCATACATGAGGCAATGGTTAGTAGAGGCTTGATCCTGCACTCTTTAAAGTCAATGGTAAAACTTCTATTGCCTTCAATGGGGCAGAATCAGGCACTAGCAATGTGGGAAGATAATTCAATCTCTCCTCTGACCCAATTCAGAATTTTGCCTTGTATGCTAGACCAATTTAAGAATATTAAATTAGAATACAGCTGGAAGTTATGCTTCTTCATGTAGTTAGTGCTACTAGAAGGAAACTATTAAAGATAAATAGGAGCAACTATTTCAATACTGCCCCTTTTGTGGTTGTGTATAAGAAACCCTGGGTTTTATCTTAGTATTCAGAAATATTTTATACTCCTATAAAATGATTTTCTTTTCTTTTCTTTAAGTGCTCTACCTTATTCAAATGAAGTTCCAATGTGTGTGCTTTTAATACCGATTTTATAAATACAATTAGTTTTTGTAAAAGGAAAATAATTTAACTACATTTTTTGCAGGTGTTGCAAATTGCTAACAATTATTTTTATCCTAGGCTTTTGAATTACAGTGTTTGTCTTGTAGCCCGTGGCATACGGCACCCAGCATCTAATGATATTTTTCCTACTGTGTCCAAAGATAAGCATGGAACTGGAACTGCTAGCATTCAGGCGTGCAGTGCTCTGCTGGCCAAAGGTGGTATCTGCTTCATAGGAGATTTGTTGTCACATAAAAAGGATAAACTTGAACTTCTGCAGTCAGGTAACCAGTACAAAGCCACTTTGCATACACTGAGCAATCAGAAGAGGGGAGAAATCAGTGCTAGAGGAGAGACAAGTAGAGCCAGGCCTCGACACTGGGAGAGATAGGACCACCAGGCCTCGAGGAAGCTAGTTTCTACAATTTGTCCAGGGGCCTTTAAATCCTAACTGCAACCCTACTCTCATGCACTCTTGACAGGGATGTTATAATTTCTCACTAACTGCTGAGAAAATGACCACCTCTGTCATCAGAAAACCTCATATATGCCATAGATAGGGAGAAAAGTGAGTGGATATTAACAGTACTGGGGAAGAGTAGTGAGATTTTTACATGAATGGATCTTAAAGCAAGGCATGATAGGATCACAGACTTACTAGGGCAGAAGAGGTACCTTCTACATTAACTACTTAAATTATAGAAAACTAGCTTATGCAGGATACAAGTCCTGGCAATAAAGAGCCCTCAAATTATATTTAGGAGTTCATGCAAGCACATTTTAGCATGGCGTGGCAAGTTTTAGAGAGAAAGCCTGTTTTTGAGAGAAAGCCTGTTTTTGAAGATGGAGCACTCCTTTGTCTGTATCACAGCTATAGTAGTTTAAACAAAGCAAAACAACATAACCCTCTCTGTGTTTTAATTTACGTACAGACCAAGGGTGGCATCTTAGCGCTAGTTAGTTTATCAATAGCCTGCAGCGTTACACGGTCTTGTATACACCTAGCTAACTGAATTGGTTTTATGTAAGTGAAAGTTTTTGCAAAGAGGACTAGATGGCATATTCTTTCCACAGGGATATGAAAATCTTTAGCTGGAGAGTACAAAGGTTCTTGCATGCACAAGCATTTTCTCCACCCCCCTGCACTAAATGCATTATGATTACTTGTACATTTTTGCATCAGTTACTTTGAAGAGATCCTGACTTTTCCATAAAAACTAAGTGCAGTATGTAATTGGAATTATCCTCAGACCCTATAACTAGGATTGGAGATTTAATGTTACATTACAGTAGTTTAATTTAAGTAACATGTATTGTTTGACCTGATAGTGCTGGAGAGCAGAACCACTACAGTATTTATTCCTGGAAAGAAGTATGGAGAAGATGTTGACCAGCAAGTTATCCTTCCAGTTCAGACCAGTTTCTGGACTTTTGTAGATGAGGATTTGTCGTCCAAAAAATATGTACAAAAGGATAATACTCTAATTGGCAAGTTGGTAAGACATATACTTTGTTATGGCAAAGTTATGTAACAAGTCTGGAGATGTAGACAATTCTACATGTAAAACAATGGAGACCAGCACAAAGAGGTGACATCTCTGCACAAGCCACAGTGAAGTCACTTTAAAGCCCATATCCTCTAAAAATAGACAAGCTTTTCTAAACATGAAGCCTTTGTTTATTCAAGGGTTTTATGTTGCTCCTACAGCCTCTGAACAAACAGGATTGTAGAGTGTGCGCATGTGTGACATTGGACTACCCTATTTTCCCCCCACAATAGTAATTTCACTCAAAATACCTTTGCACTTGCACACCTATGAGAGAGGGCTAGAGCCTGTCATTTTCTCTACAGTATAATCAGAAGTAAATTGATTTTTTTCTATTTGAAAAATAAGCGGTTGAGCTTTTCAGTCATATTGCTTTGGGTTTTATTCTGTTTAGGATTTGAGATCAATGGCAGCTAACCTTATAGATGCTTTTGGGCTTTTGATACACTGCAATGAATTATCTTGCCAACTAGCTCTTCCTCTTTTGGATCACATCATGAAAAAAGCCATTGATCCAGAAGAAGTACCTTATACCATCTCCCAGCAGTTCAGAACACAAGATTATGAAGAGGTAACTAGCTATAGTTCAGAACAAAATTGTATTTGATAATTTAACACTATTACTTGGCATGATGTGGTTTTCCTGAGATGACTTGTATACTTCCAGCCATGCAGATATTCACTATTCCATGCCCCCTTGTGGTCTCACTGAAGTCAATATGAGTTTTGCCATTATTTTCACTGATAAAATCAATTTCCCATCTATAAATTAGTGGGTGTTTTCTGAAAATTTATCTAGTGGGGATAGCACCCTCTTTGTATCCATTCCACAAAGCACCACCTCAGGACTTAATACTACAACAAAAGATTTAATCATGTTATTTCCAGAAGAACCACTTTCTGAGGGCACGGGAATGTGTGTACCTCTTCCAGGAAGGAGAATGCAGGTATATATTAGTGGAGTATAAGCAAAACACTAGTGACCATTTAATACTTTTTTAAAAATGGAAAACAAAAAAGGCTGACTTATTAAAATTCACAGCAGCCTAATTGTGCAGGATGGACAATATACTTATTGAATTGAACATGGTCCAACTCCATAATGACCTGATGCACATTTGATACTAATACAATATTCATGTTCCTCCACCACTCAAGGCACTTCAAAACGTAAAACTTTAATTGCAATTAATCTGATTTCACCCTAAATCAGATTAAGAAAATGTCTATTAGCGGGAAAAATAGCATCTTTCAAAAAGTAATGGATATGCTGACAAGCAACTTCATTTTGTATCTTCTATGTACCAGGTTGCTTTTTGGGAGTTCTACACTAATTTTTAAACACTATTGACATATCACTGGCATCAGGAGGTACACAGCTCCTTTGTTGTTCAGTCAGAGATTCTCGTGATAGCAGTACAAGTTCCAGCAATAGCAGATGCTCAGTAAATAAGTTCAACCGGCCACTGTCTGGCTGACAGCTAGTACTTAAAATTTAAACTAGAGATAATCTGACTGTCCAGTACAACGAAATCAGCAACAGGTTTCTCAAGATAGTGACCAACAATATGGGGAACTATTTTTAAATCAATTTTTGGTTAACTATTATTTGCATTCAAGGGGATAGAAATTGGGTTTTAGAAGTTTAACCCTGGAACATCATCCAAATTCAGATCTGGTACAAGCAAGTTCATTTCCAGTGACCTCACC